TATATATATATATATATATATAGAGAGAGAGAGAGAGAGAGAGATAGAGAGAGAGAAAGAGATAGACAGATAGATACAATCACAAATAAAACAGTACGTGAATAAAATATGCATCCAAAGAAAGGTTTTGTTAGTTTCTCCTCGTGTCAATAGAAGTGTTTATATGTTTGTGTGTGTGTACGTTATGGCAAGAAACCATCAGTGACCAACGGAAATATCTTCTGTTTGAGGTGGTTCTGATGACTTTTGAATGGTTGTAGCAGAGCATAACGTCGGTCTAAAAGTGCACAAGGCTTAATAAGCAAAAGAAGGGCATAAGACTTCTATTCGCCCTAGCTCGCGACATGAGGTGATAATTAAAGTTTACCACTTCGAGATGAGTAGACCTTACGATACTACTGAATTCATCCAATCGTCTTGTGTATCAGGTGACAAAAAATCACCACTTCGGCATACAGCAATGAGCGCCAGTCTGGACTTTCCAGAATTGCAGGCTCATGGCGAAAGTGTAAACTCTAGAATGAGGCAAACATGTATTTGCGATTAAAATCGTCTACTCTACCTATTTACGGTAGGACCCTGCTTCTGAACGGAGTCACGATACCCGAGCTACTGATAGTTTCTAAGCCCACTAACTTAGAAACCACGGTCGTCGAACTCGAGGAGTGCAGCATTTATTTTAAATACTTTTCCAATACGGTTATCGTTGGGGCCAACTGGCATTTTGCTATTAAAAACTACTAGGCTACTTATATTAAAAGTAAGTAGTAGGATACGTTGAATACGAGTTGTGGTGAGATGGAGACTGCAATCAACACAGAATGAGAATATATGTTTTAGGAGGCGTGGCCAAGTGCAATTCAAGAGCATCATGATGGCAAATGCAACTATTAATCCTTTATTACCTCATTCGACCGAGAGTGAATAGAAGTATTGTTAAGGATCGACAGTTAGTCTATAAACTTACTTGATATAATTGTACAACCTACGTTAGGCCAGGAGTATTTCTTATCGCATTTCTCACTCCCATTTTGATGGCCGGAGTAGAAAACACAGTACATGGTGAGACCTCCTCGAGGTTAGGAAAATTGGGAAAGTTGTGAAACCTGATTGAACCAAGATTTATAGGGCGAAAAGGAGACTTCAACCAAACTGATGGCCACACGATGTTTGTGTTTACGTATTAATCCTTCGTGGGGCTCTAGTTTTGCCTTCTAGGCTGCTGCTATTATTAATAATATTTTAGCTTTAATTTTTTCTCACTTTCCTTGGCTACACACAGTATGGGGTCAGCGGGCCCTTCTGGTACACGTCGAGCAACATCCTGCAAACGATCATTTTCTGTGTCATGGCATTTCAGCTTAAGACGAAGGCCCCCGGAGCATGTACCTTTCCTCAGTTGATATTGGCCCGGTTCGGCAAAAAAGCTCATCTGGCTTTTTGCTGTTTCGCCCTACTGATCGCCTTCGAGGAGCTGTGCAGCCTCATCCTCGGTACGTAGTTCAACCGTTTCACCTTTTCCACCTCTTTTGGCTCATCCGTCTTTGAGCCGGTCTCCGAAAAAATGTGCATACAAAAGGCTTTGTCTCCGGCACGACCGCACAAAACAGGTTGCCAGGTGGCGACGCCTCGATTTAGAGACGAAAATGTGTCAAAATGGCGGGATTTGCAGACTCGACAGAGACGGACTGGGATGCCCTGGCAACGCTGAATGGGGCTCAGTACAAGGCTGAATGTGTGATTGGTTTGTTTGGCATGTTTCCTAGTCTTGAGGGTGTCGGACATCATTTTTACTGTCTGCTTATTTGCAATGTTGGCTCAGCGTTTTGAGAGCGCCTTGAAACCGAAGTCATTTCTCTTTTTAATAATAGTTGGGGTTCATTGCTGCTCTACTGCATTCTACACTTGGCCAAGGAAGCGGCAACAATAAACTATCACTCGATTATTTGGTTCACTGCTTCTCGGTACAATAAGTAATTCGTATGCTTTTAAATGCATCAAATGTTGCATTCGAATATTGCTGATTTGGAAAAAGAATAATCTAACAGAAGCTCACTTGAATAATCACAAGTCTCAAATTAAGTTAGGGTATGACTTTTTTGACAATTAATAACACTATACTACTCGAATGCCATATTAGCATAGCAAAATGATTAAATAATAATTGCTATAAGTAAAATGAGTTCCGACAAATATGATTAAAATGAATTGTAGATTAGGCCTTTGGTTTGTTAAGGGTCTGGATAGATGCGGAAATTCAAACTAATAAAATGTTTCTTTTGAATAAGGTCGGCTCAGAAGGAGTCAAAAAGTTATTTTGACACTTTCTGATAGTTGCTAACCCGAGGGAAGGAGGAATTGGCAGAAATAAATAAAAGCTCACTATAATGATCACTGAGCGACATAAATGCCAAATTTTTGCATATAAGCAGGAATAAAAGGCAAAAACTAGTTTTGCAAGTTAAGATGATGACTTTGTTGTATTCATTATTAGCAAAAGCATGCAACACTATACTACTCAAATGCAAAAGTAGCACAGAAATAAAGGTTATATAATAATTAGTCTTCTATTATAAATAAATTGAATTCCTACCTAAATTAGCAAAATAAATCTCGTGTATGTATGACCTCGTTTTGATAGCTTCTCTATTCTGATAAGGCGCTGCGGTGACTACCAGGCTGGCGAAACTGCTTAAAATGCATTGAATTGGTAGTACAGGCATTGCAAAAAGAGTAAACACTAGGACTAGTCCATGGTACAACCGAATATATCATCATAATTGCTGTCATTTAAAGATAGTGCAATTTCTATCGTCAGATTGATAAGTCGCTTTAACGACAGCTTCAGAATTTGCTTAGTCCCCAGGAGTATAAATATAAATAAATAAATAAAGTGGGAGATATCTAAATGAGAAGCAAATTTTGTAGGTCTTTCAGCGCGACTCATCGAGTTGATGATAAGGAAAAATGATTTTATGTTGAATTGCCGCATCTATTATGAGATAATTGGTTGTTTACTAGTCTTACGATGCCTTGAAATAGGATTCACACACTGGTCACATAAAATACATCAAAATAGAATGAGTTTCCAATTCCCATAAACTGTGCTGATAAAAAGGCCAAGATAGAGAGGAAAATGGAGGAGAATGGGCATCTACCAATTCAGTGACCCTTTAGAGAAGATTGTTCAAAAAGAAATCCTACACCGGAATAATTTTTAATTTTCACATTTACTGTAAGTATAGAGAGAATCTCGGAGTGGTCAGGTTTACGATCACAAGTAGCTTAAGACTAACTATCAAATAAAGAATACTTGGATAAAGAACTGGATAAATTGACTCTGGTGCTTAATGAAAAATGAAGTCTAAAGAGAATGATTCAACAAAATATATGCGTCGTGGCGACCAGCTGACAGGACGAGGATTCTGAACTGAAACTAAGTAGGGCAGAAAAGAAGTGATTAATGCGCCCACTCTCCTACAAACTGACCCGGAATCCGCGGTATTTGATTTACAAAATGGAAAATTCTTTCAATTCCGGAATTAAAGAGAAATTTTGTCACAAGCTTGCCTGTACAACATGCGATAGTCAACAAAATGGGAGAGACGGAAAGAATGTTCAACACAAGAATTAGAAAAAAGATTTGAGTTTGCAAAAAATACTGAACTGACCAGCAACACGATTGAGGGTGAAAATATAAAAATGTGCAAGATCGGGTAAACCATGAACATTCTGCTTTAAAAGAGCCTAACTAATAGGAGATCGAAGAAGAACAGTCGATGAGAAGTTCGCCTACTTTTTGGGCAAACTTGAAGAAATTCGTGACACAGTAAGAAGGCATTTAAGTCAGAAATGTCCAGGACGAAGTGGTTTAGCATTTGATAAAAGTCAAGCAATGATCAGTGAAGTGAGCGGAGTCTAATCAAGAACCCAGAAGAAGGTAGTTCGTCTGGGAGTACAACCAAGAGTGGTCACAGTCGTCTTAATAAGCTACAATTAGGGATGCAAATTTCGACTTCAAAGCCATTAGAATGTTTCCGCTGGCATGACCATAGCCAGAAAAGTCATACTTTTTCCGTTTCAAAGTTATAGTGGGATTTTCGGAAGACAACCCTGAATTTTGCCTTCATAAGTGGCTACACTACTTATATTCATGGCAAGTAGTATTCGAATAAGAATTTATTCAAATTAACATCTGGAAGGCCACTTTGGCATGATTATTGGCAAACATACAGTTTGATTTTGATTGCCTTCATTATGTAATAATTTGTTTTCTAATTTATTCCACCGCTTCACCGTTTTTTTTGGCAGGTGGGGCTTCTCCTATGATCACATATTTCCTGGATTTTTCCGCCGAATTACACATTGGATTTAGCTGGTTTATCGTATCGCTCTACTCCCTATTTATTGACTGGGAAGACAACTACATTGTTTCATTTCTGTGCAACTCCTTCATTATGCTCAGTACAAATGTGATTTTTTTTGTCGTTTTCGCCGGTCAGTCTCTTGAATCAAAGCAA